CTAAACACTCGTTCATTCTCTACCTCCTGTAGGTTTAAACACTCCTTAAGAACAGAATATAGGACTTGTTAGTCTTTCTCTACCTCCAGGAGCCAAAAGGTCTAAACACTCGTTCATCCTCTACCTCCTGTAGGTTTAAACGCTCATTGGTCTTTCTCTACCTCCAAAGGTTTCTGGACATTCATTAAGCAAAGAATAGGCCTCTCCATGTTTCCTCTGGTTCTATTAAACATTCTTTCCAGGGTACAGAAAATTTCCAGCAGATAACCCTCCGGCCTTTTACAAGGCCTCCAGCAGATGACTTTTCGTCTTTCATCCCACAATGCCAGTCACTGCTGACACACCCACCAGCTCCAGACCTGCGTGTGCGCCACGTCCTGAATGGCTTTGAAAGAGGCCCTCACCCAAACTCAGTGCTGTCGTATTTCCCATTTTAGGTGGCTGCCCACCTGCTTCCAGATGCTCTTAATGAATCTATGCTATTAACTCTACTCAGCCTGGTTCTGTGTGTCACCTTTCCACCTTTCAATGTCTAACAGTTGGAGCCTCAAGGCCCTGTCCCAGCAGCAGCTGCCCCATTTCTTATGCAGCTGGATCCCATGATTTACTCCTAGCTACCCAACTGAGTACTCGCTGTCAGCCAAGTGAAAGGACTGTTGGAATTAGGCTGCCTGAACATACACTGTGGCTCCCAGGCCTTTCCACACATGTTAGGCCCTATGACCTATGGATTTGGTTTTTTTCTGGAGAGACAGAGTCTCACTTTATCACCCTCAGTAGAGTGCCATGGCATCACAGCTCACAGCAACCTCCAACTCTTAGGCTTAGGTGATTCTCTTGCCTCAGCCTTCCAAGTAGCTGGGACTACAGGAGCCTGCCACAACGCCCGGCTATTTTTTTGTTGCAGTTTGGCTGGGGCCAGATTTGAACCCACCACCCTTGGTATATGGTGCAGGCGCCCTACCGACTGAGCCACAGGCGCCATCCTGACCATGGATTTGAACTGCTCCAAAGCCGTGCTGGTTGGATACTGTATACTGAATCGCCTGGTCACCTGTAGCAACCTTGGCCTCCCGACAATGATCAACCATTATATCAATAGTTGAACTCACCTCCCACACTTTCTCACGCAGTCCTTCCTCACTATACCACGTTACCAAGGATTTCCCGTGTCTCCTACCTGGGCCCACCCACCTGGGCAATAACAGTTTCCTCCTTTCTGTGCCCAAAGCTCATGAAGTGTTACTCACCAGTCCACATGACCTATCTCATTCCTTTTGTATCAATTGAGGGCACGGATCTGGGAACTTGAGAAGGCCAAGGCAACTAGAGTTTTTAGGAAAGAATACCAAAGAAGAGCTGCACAGAGAGCTTCAGAATTTCACAGAGGGTCACCTCAAGTCTTCAAATGGGTATTACTGATCAATGCATGTGTTGGAAGAAACTACACAAGGCCAGAAAACAAACTCCAAAGGGGAACAGAGGAAACATCCTCAGGACTCATGCAGAGCTGGGAAGTTCATGCCTACACCAGCCAAAGTAAAAACAGTTCACATGTAATATATGGCATCAGTTAGAATATATAGTCTAAATACGTTACTTGGAATGCAGATTGTTGGACATGATTTTTTAAAAGCAAGACCTAACTATATACATCCAAGAAACCAACTTTAAATAGAGAAACACAAATAGGTTAAAAGTAAAGAGATGTTAAAAGTATTATGCTGAGTGAAAGAAGCAGGCAAAAGATGAGTGCAGACGGAATTACTCTACTCTGTGTGGAATCACATGCAAATTAAGGTACAGTGACAAGAAGCACATCAACAGGTGCCCAGGGATGAGGAGTGAACAGAAGGACTGACAGCTGGTATGATGTAGGGAACTTCTGGAGGGGATGAATTCGTTCATTGTCCTGACTGTGGTGATAGTTTCACGCTTATATAACATCTGTCAGCTGACCTCTTTAAATACATACACAGTTTACTGTATATCAACTATACCTTTACAAAAGCTGTAAAATTTTATTTTAAAAAGCTGGAAATGGATAAAACCGCTGTAATGTCCCATCTTTAAGTTCTCTCTGACCACAAGGTATCTTTGTAGGCTATTAAGACGGAGTAAAGAGAATGTGATACTTACTTGAGAAAGTCTGTCGCCCTTTGAATTCTCATGATCTCCGTGCTTGTCAAACTCTTTTGGCTCCTTATATGTGCAAAACCAGGGGACTGAAATTAAGAATAGAGGTATATTTAGATATATAAGATGGTAAAGGCTACAATATAGTAATATTCCATTAAAAATCATTATGGGGCAGGTTATAACTATTACTCCAGTATCTAATATATTAAAATTACTTAAAGTGCCATTAATTATCAGATATGTTTATTTCATTAAAAACAAGTATTTACAATAAAAAAGATCTGAATTTACCATCAGACAGACCTGATTTTAGAATTTTTTTTTTTTTTTTTTTTTTTTTGCTGTTTTTGGCTGGGCCATGTTTGAACCTGCTACTCCTTGAGCCACAGGCGCCACCCCTGATTTTAGAATTTAAAGACTTAAGTTAGTATCTGTTTTTCTCAAAATTTATTTATCTCGGCTCGGCACCTATCAAGTGGCTAAGGCACCAGCCACATACACCTAAGGTAGCGGGTTCGAAGCCTGGGCCCACCAAACAACAATGACAGCTGCAACCAAAAAACAGCCAGGCGTTGTGGCAGGCGCCTGTGGTCCTAGCTACTTGGGAGGCGGAGGCAGGAGACTCGCTTGAGCCCAGGAGTTGGAGGTTGCTGTGAACTGTGATGCCACAGCACTCTACCCAGGGAGACAGCTTGAGGCTCTATCTCAAAAAAAAAAAATTATTTATCTCTAGGTAACCCCAAAAGACCCACCTATATGAATATGAGATTGAACTAAAATATTGAGAAGAATCTCTTATCAATATGAGGAAAAAGAGAGGAAGAAAAAAGTCAACGGTCTCATGTGGCCTCCCTGGCTTTTAGGGCTCTAATCATTTTCTCCAAACTTTGTCTTTGTTCTTATGTTCCTAGTTTCTTGGGATTCTTTTTTTTTTT